AGTGCCTGAATTTGACCTGAATCAGACGTGTAGCCCTTGTACAGCAGATCTCAGACTATGGGAGGAAGAAACAGCACTAGGAGCCATTTTTAGACCAAAACCGAACCGGAAATGTTAACATTTGTCATGCCAAAACTGAAAATAACTTTTTTTTTTTTTTTTAACTTTACTCTTATGGGCTTTGGGGAAATATTAGGGGTCTAAACACGCCCCTGATATTTGCTTTATAAAATAGAAAAAAGAGATTGAGGACACAGAGCCCTAAATCTCTTTTTCTGAGCCCCTGTTATGAATCCACAGGAAACCTCTATACTGAGCTGCTCCTGTCAATTTATAAACTGAGGAGATAGTATTAGTTACTATGTCCACAATCATGATTGAACAGGAAGTGATGTAGAGCATTTCCTATTCATTCATAATTGTAGACACAGAGACACAGTAACTAAACACTAAATGTCCCAGTTATTTACAAACATCAGTTCTGATCACACCGATGTTTGAGCAGTACATGGAAGGATCAGCAAATATTTCACATGTTTGCTGATCCTCCCCGCTCTTCATCCTGAACCTCATTGCTCTCAATCTTGTGTCTGGTGTCTCTGGACACTGATAGCATTCCGCGGCATGTAGTACTTCTGTGCGGCCACTAGACGACACTGTGTCTGCCCCTCAGCTGCTCCGAGCTGAATGGCCGCTCCGGGGATCCATCTTGGAGGGTAAGCTGGGGGATGAAGCAGGACACGTGAGGGCAGAGAACAGCTTGCCTTCCCCACATTGGGCACCAGCAGCTGGATCGGTTCTGTGTCCCCTCCGATCTCCGCTGCCTCTGCCGAAACAGACGGGGTAGAGCAGTGGGGATTGGAGGGGGGACAGAACGAAGCTTGCAGCTGGTGACCAGCAGGAAGGAGAGTAGCTTTCAGGTGGCAGAGCTGGATATTGCAGGGAGGAGAGAGCTGTCAGCTGCCACAGGAGGCCGAGTGGGGCAGTGCAGGAGGAGTGGAGTACAACTGATCGCTGAGTGTTTGTAAATAAATGAGGACATAGTAAGCTTACTGTGTCCCCTGTTATGAATGAACAGGAAGTACTCTACATCACTTCCTGTTCATTCAGGATTGTGGACATAGTAACTCCTCAGTTTATGAGTGGGCAGGAGCAATCAGTATAGAGGCTCCAGAAAAAGAGATTTAGGACTTTGTTTCCTAAATCTCTTTTTCTATTTTAAAAGGGAAATATCAGGGATCTGTTTAGACCGCTGACATTTCCCCCAAAGCCCCCAACAGTAAAGTAAAAAAATAATTTTTAAATAATTTAAAACATTTGAAAAAGTTTTGGAAAAAAAAGTCAGTTTCGGTTTCGGCCTGACGACTATTTTCATTTCGGTTTCGGCCTAAAAATTTAATTTCGGTGCATCCATTAACATTTCTAGTTGTTTCCTAGAAGATAACAAATGCTCACTTTCTGAGCTTGGGTCCACTTTAATACTGTACCACCTTTCATCAAGGGCAGATCAGGGGCAAATTCAGGTCACCATATTAATAAAGACTTTCAATTTTCTTTGGAAATATTAGCCAATAGACTGTTTTCCCAGCTGATTTTCTGTGAAGAGCAGAGACACGTACACTCTAATATCTAACTTGCCCAGAATATCAATGGACTGAATAATACTTAAAAACGGGCCACGTAATATAGGCTTGTACTTAGCCTGCATCATAATCAGCAGATATTATCCAGGTGAATCCCGACTGCCATGCTCATCACACACCAAACTTCTCTCCTAAAATGCACAAATGTAATTGTTAGCAATTTAAAAGTGGCAATCTCTGATCTTAATTAATTTCTTTTATGACCTAATTGAAATTCACAAGTCAGGCTTTTTTTTCTCTGCTTATCCTCTTAGATCTCATTTGAGTTTTGCTGTTGATTTCCATTCCCTCTTTCACAATAAGGCAATTAATTTCCGATGTAATGATTAAAACAAGGCTTGACATGAAAAAGACACTGCAGGCTAATTAACAACCTCTGCAAAGTAAGCAAGAGCTGTCACTGACACACATCTAAGATTCATTCTGTTTCTTAAGGAAGAAATTCCGTAAGAGATATTACGTTGCTCGCAGGACCAGATTTACCCTCCCTGCCGCCCCAAGGTCGGGTTTTGTTTCTTTTTTTTAACTTTTTTATCACTTTTTTTTTTTTTTTACTTTTTACATTTTTATTTATGTTGTCTTTTTTTCCTTTTTTTAAAAATTTATTTATGTCATAATTTTTTTATCTATTTTTTTTCACCTAACTTTATTGCTATCACACAGGAGATAACAAGTTACTGTGTGATAGCATTTGGAGGTAACAGGTTCACTTTATTGAACCTGTCACCTCCAATACAGGAGTTCTAGCACAGCACTCTGCTGGAACTTCTGTGACAGGTGAGGGGAAGAGCACAGCTCTCCCCTCTCACTGTCTACACAGAGCATCAGGGTTAGTTTTAACCCTGCCGCTCTGCTCACCGCTCTCCATCCTGAAGACGGCGGCTGCGAGGACTGAGCCGGGAGGACGCAGCAGGGAGAGAGGTCTAATTACAAGTGATCTTGGCAACATCGCCGAGATTACTTGTAAAGAAACAGGTGATTTCTCCTATTCTACATTTAGCTCTCTTGTGCAAAGCAGAGCTAAATGTAGAAAACAAATTACCGCCCGGTGCCCGGAACTCCATGTTCCGGGCGTCGGGTGTGCCACCCCTCTGCTCAGTGCCGCCCCGAGGCCGTGCCTCGGTGGCCTTGCCGGGAATCCGGCCTTGGTTGTATGTTCTGATATGTCTATATAGCGAGTACTTTTCTGTGCTGGAATCTAATCCCTATACTGCCAAATCACCTAAAGAAAAAACTCTACCTTTGTTAAATATGAATATAGCACATATAAATGCTACACAAGTCATTTTGTAATTTAATGTTATTAAAAAGTTCCTTTCTATTCCTATCTGAATCCGCTGTAATTTTCTAAAACTGTTACACAAAATGAATTGCAATATGGCATTCTCTATACCTTTAGTGTATGGCAGTGGTTCTCAACCTGTATAACCTCAAGACCCACATTTGTCCTGGGTCATTAAGTCATGGCCCAAGTCGCATTGCAGTACTGAGCGTTCTGGTGCAGGCCATCGAAATGTGGGTGTGAAATGCATTGGGGGTGTCATTCAAATGAATGGCAATGCAACGCACCTCCCGCACCAGAACACACATATTCATTTAAAGAACAAATGTACATTTATTATTTTTTGCACTGGAGCCAGTAAAGCAATGCAACCACAATCCATGGCCCACAGGGAACAATGCTCAGGCTTCTGAGAAAATTGAGCGAAAAACCCAAAATTTTGAGTTGTCAAGAGAAGAGGAAAGGGGGGAAATCTTCCAATAGGAACACATCAAAAAGAGATTTCCCTCACTTTATAGTGATTTCCTCACTTCCTATTGAATCTACCGGACAGGAAGTAAAGGGAAATCTGGCCAATGGCAGACACATGGCAAAAATGACAGCCGTATGAACCATTTTCCACAAACTAAACTGAACAAATTTGGATTTAGAAGTACTTTAAAAGTTTAGTCCACCTAAAATGATATTTAAGATCTAGATGGATTCTGGTTTACTAAGTCACTCTTGGCTTCTTATAGGCTTTAGCTACTCCAAAAATTAGATCTCCCTGCCATAATTCCAAACCCTGTTCTTGTTCACCTTTGTATGTTCAGGCCCCTTCTGTTACATTCTCCATAGTATCAAATAAATACAACATGCAGCAGGGGCACTGGGAACCTCATAATGGCCACACCAGGTGTGCAACCCCGAAAACGTGGCGCAGAGTCTGTGAGAGCTATAAATCATTTTTAGGAGATTTAACAAGGGCCGACTCTTTTATGAGGCAACCTGAGTCTGTTGTCTCAGGTGGCATCTGTTTGGGTCACGTGGGGGGGCAGCAAGCAGTGTTGCATAGCTGCACAATGTCTGCTGTGTGCCTGCCGCCCCCTTTCTGGCCAGAGTGTCCTAGGTTGCTAAGAGCCAGGCAGTGAAATGTGTAAAGGCCATACACATCTCTTCGCCCTGCTCATAGCAACCTGGGATGCTCTAGCTGGTGTCCCAGCCAGCTCCTGGCAACCAGTGATGTCACTAGTTGCCAGGAGCTGGGCAGGGCGCTAAACAGAGCGTCCCAGGTTACTAAGAGCTGGACTCAGCAGATGTGTATCAGAGAGCAATCCTCCCTCTCAGGCAGCAAAAAGGCTAGAGACACCACTGGATTTAACTCTCCAGTATCTACCAAATGAGGAAATATCAGTTTTGGGTGTGCTGACCCTTTAACTACTAATGGATTTTTGTTGGATGGAGAAAGTATCTCCCCAGGCAGCAAGGAAGCATAATGGGACGGGCAGGGAATGCTAGGGGGGGATGCTATCAGGAGGCAAAGTGACGGTGTCTCTTTAAGCTACTTTTCAGCCTCTTGGTTCTACGCAATATCAGTTTATTTATAATGTTATGGGGGACTTAAAAAATTCAATTTGTGGTTCTAAAGGCTCTAAGACACTCAGTTTATATGAAAGTGGACAATCCCTTTAACAGTTCTCTGCCATGAGCCTGTCTCTGCACTGCTGTAGAAGCAGAATTCAGTTTAGGAAGCTGTACGGATTTCCCCGTTGGTTTAAAAAAGTTATGCTCTTGTTTCATCAGTTTCCAGTGAACTTCATTTGTTTAACATGGGACCTCTAAATAAAAACATCTCTTTTCATGACATAATTACCTATTGGCTACAAATCCGGTACTCAGATTGTCAGCTCCTTCTTCTTCCCCCCCATCAGCGTTTAGTCTAAAGACCATGAAATATTCCTCTTTATCAAGTCTCTGTGATGTTCTGGTGGGAAGAGACTATTGAAAAATGTATGAACCCTCTTTCCTCTCAGCTAATGTATTCACACTACTCTCCAGTGCCCGATCACAGCAACAACCTACTTTCTCTCCTGCAGGAAGAACTAGGGGAACTGATGCAGATAGTCAAAGAGAGGAAGCTGAAGAGCGAATTATCCAGCATGCAGAAAAAGAGATGTAACCATGGAAACACGAAATCCGGCCCGAAACCTCAACAGACCAATAGCCTGCAGAGGTATGTCACTATGAAACGCATCTGAGGCAGCGAACACGACTCGTGGGATGAATCTTTCCTCAGCATGAAGTTTTAATGCTGAGAAAGTGACTAGTTTCCTGTAGAGAGGCATGGAATAATCATAAGACAGGGAACAGAAGAGGTTTTAATCTTGAAATGTGTGATTCTTAAAGTGAACCTGTGCCCAGCTCATGCACAATAAAGTATTCACATATTCGAAGAAGAAGTAAATAGCAGCCATTCATCTCTGTATCTATAAGAATTGTGAAGAATTTAATTTTCAAATTTCACAACACAGGCATTTAAATCATAATTCCTTCCCTGTTACTTCTTACTGCTGTAGAATCTTGGCAGCCTGCCAGCCTTCTGATGTAAACATTCAGCGGGCGTTTCTAGGGACTTGTTCACGCCAGCAGCATTGCCCAAACCAGCAGGTTATCAGCACTAATGAAGGACCAGATGGCGTCGTAATTCGAAAAGCAGGTTATTACCAGTACAGCATAGAAGAAGGGTAAGGAGAGACATTTTTTTTCAACACCAGCAGATATAAGGACCACTGGGGACCCCTTCCTTAGGCATCATTTAGAACAAAGCTGCCTGAGGAAGGGGTCCTCAGTGGCCCCGAAACATTGCTGTTGCTACTATCTGCTGGTGACGAACAAATGTTCTGTTCTTACTAGGGAGGCACCAATACCGATACTGAGTATTTGGGTGAGTACTTGTGCTCACCCAATTGCTCCTGATGCCTATCCCGATATTGGAACGTCCGGTATCAGGAAGCTGGGCGGCGAGTCATTACACGCCGCCCAGCTTCCTGATTAGCAGGGAAGTCGGCTCCATGCTATCTCATCACCAGGTAGCATGGAGATGGATTTCTGTCCAATCAGGAAGCCGGGGGGGTTGGGGGGAGGGGGGTAATGACTCGCCCTCCTGATTGGCCGGGAAGCCAGCTCCATGCTCCCCTGTCACTTTGTGCCCAGCTTCCTGATTTGGCCAATGAGGAAGCTGGGCAGCGTGTAATGATTGGTCGGGAATCTGACCAATCAGGAAGACAGACATTGAGTCATTACCCACCCTCTGCTTCCTGATTGGCCAGAAAGCTGGCTCCATGCTCCCTCGTCACCTGGTGACAAGTGGGGATGGAGCTGGCCTCCCGGCCAATCAAGAAGCCAGGCGCTGTGTAATGACTTGCTTCCCGGCTTCCTGATTGATCGGGAAGCTGGCAAATCAGAAAGCCAGGTAGCGAGTTATTACCGGCCCGCCAGCTTCCTGATTGGCCAGAAAGCCGACTCCATGCTTCCCCGTCACCTGGTGACAAGTGAGCATGGAGACGTCTTACAGACTAATGGGGCTTCTGGTATCAGTATTTGTTATTGGCGAGTACCGGAAAAAAAATATTGGTACTCGCACTCGATACCAAAAAAACGGTATCAATGCATCCCTAGTTCTTACCCTTCTTCCATGGGGATAACCTGCTGCTCAAATTACCTACTTGATTGTGTCATCTGTCTCTTCACCAGCAGGGCCAGATACCCCACAAGGCCAACTAAGGCACGGCCTTGCGGCAGCAGGGAGTAGAGGGGCAGCAGGGGTGTGGAATTCCTATTTCCCAATGCCTGGGACATGCATTTCCGGGCGCCGGGTGGGTAGTTGTTTTCTACATGTATCCCTGCTTTTGGGCAAGCAAAGCTAAATGTACAGCAGGGAAGCCTCTGCTTGTTTTGTACAAGTGATCTCGCCAAGATCACTTGTATGCAGGTCTGCCATTCTACATGGGGGGGGGGGCGGGCAGGGGGGCGCATCGAGGAACCTGGCCTTTGGGCAGCAGAAAAAGTAAATCCGGCCCTGTTCACCAGTGTACCCGCTGATGTTTTGGCCTATGTGGGCAGCGTTGCCCAACGCAGTCCCAATCCAAGAACAAGACAATTTGCCCCATGTACTATAGGTTCAGTTCAACATGCTGCATAGCTGTGCACTGAAAAGATAAATGTGCTGTTCCTTCATATGGAAAAAGCTGGTAGTGGCTCCCTATTTAAAGTGTATCTAAACCAAAGAACAGAAATTCAATATATTGCAGCTTATCAGTCCTTAGTTGTGGTGGCGGCATTCATTTTTTTCCTTTATTTTCAGCAGGTGATCCTGCCAGTAACACACTTCCTGTCCTAGAGTTACAACACTCACTGCACTGTATCTACAAAGCAGTAGTGTTGTCACCCTAGGACAGGAAGTGTGCTAGGACTACAGAACACTTTCCCTTCACCTCATCTCCATAATATAGGTAGAAGATGTTCTGTAGTCCACAGAGAGAACTATAACAATATTTGCTATTTTAGCGCAGCATTGCCAGCACACTAGAGGAAGCTCACAGGATTTCTAGAAGAATCAACAGTACATTGTTGTACTTATCAAACAGATATAGCAAAATGCTTTCAATTCTATATTTACCAGACCAAAGGAGGTGGAGGGTTGGGGAATGTAACCATATGTCATGTTATACCCTAAAGATGGATGTAACATGAAACAAGGTATGAAAGATGGAGTATGCTTTTAAAACAAGATTATCACCAACTTTTTTAGAGCTTTATTCCGGGCTGCAGGTGCGTGTTAAGGTCATGTGAAAAGTTCCATCGCATAGAGAAATATTGAGCCTGACAATAACAGAGGTCAGCAGGCGTCTGGAAATTGCTTTATTATACCCGTCTGTTAGAAATGAATTTTTGTACCGAACACTTGATCTCTAAAATGTACTCACTTGTATAAGAAGGAACTATTTTTACCCCTAATTGCTCCTTGAAGATGGGGGCCGTGGAAGGGTCTATAGCCCGGGCTGTCTTTAGAAGATAAAGAGTTTTGCTTCTAAGGTCCCTGTTTGCTTTGTTTTCCTCCCAGGCTTCAGCCACAGAGTTCAGAGAGTTCACAGTCATTATCCATGTTGATGGCAAGTCAGCAGGAACAGAGGGAAGCTCTCCAGCAGATGAACCAGAGGCTGGAGTCTCTGGAAAGGATGATTCGTCTCAGCCTGCTGGCTAATGCTCCACCAGGTAACAGGATTACGGGGTGACAAAGGCAATGTGTCCATCTCCTCAGTTCACAAATGACAAACTGCATTCCGGGAAACAAAAAAAGATAAAAGTACAGCCCCGTTCTGCAGCTTTCTCAGGTCATTCAATACTAAATCTGTAACATTAAAATTTGCTTGTTGAATCCCATCACATGCTAACATGGGCCCCAAATGAGAAGTGGGTCCATCAGGCAGTTGCAGGAGCGGGTTGTATGGTCACTGTATGGGAAGACTCTCCCTTTAATTCCTGATCATTGAGGTTCTGTTGGTAGACCAATCCCAGATAAGCATACTTAAGGTGGAACTCCATCTTGACTGCTGAGAATCATAGTTGACTCAGGACATGTAATTAGAACAGTTTTCATTCCCTGCCCTCCCACCACCCGATAAACTACTAGACAACGTATAACTTTTGAAAGGGCAAGGCCACAGCTTTTTTGACTTTAACATCATAATACACAACGATTTTTCCAGTCTTCCATGAAATCGTGTCAGTCACAGAAAAACTGTGAGCACCCAAACAACATCACCTTATAACATAACGTAGACCAAATGCCTTCACCATCAATTCTAGACACGCATCCAACCATCAAGGGGTTTCAGCAAAGGTTAATGTGGTAACTGATTAAGCTGGCAAGGCCCAACAACTGCCAAAAAGCTGTGACAACTCAAAGAAAAGAGGGAGTGTGGGTGGACACGGTCAGATTGCTGGTCGAGTCTCAAGAGGCCAGCAAGCCCTCCCCCACAAGCCTTTTTATCACTTCTCCATATCTCCACCTATTAATCTCTTTTCACCAATCAGCTCTTGCTCATGCCTGCATATGTAAAGAATGTAAACTTAGACACCCCCCAAAATAATATTCTAATAACATGTTAAGGTTCTCTTAGTGAGGACACATTGACACTCTAAGCTAAACTCCTGTTTTGACAGAGAGGACACAGTTACACTCCAAGCTAAAATCCTGTTAGTAGAGAGAGGACACATTTACCAGAGCACCTGCTGCACTGTAAGTGGAAAGGGAAACTTAGTTACTTGTTTCTGAGGGAACTTCCTGTCAGTTACACACTTGTTCCCTCAGTGATGAGTGTCCTCCATTCTATTGCAGTTCATATTAAAGCACCCTAATTTCACCCAACCCCGATCGCACTGTGGAGTTTATTCGTCAGAAGTGCAACACATACAGGGAGAGGGTCCATATTACCAACCTCTCCCAATTTCATGATTCCAGCAGTCAGCAACTAGACCTCATGGGAGCTCAAGTAGACATTGTCTTTCTGCGTTTTGCATGCATTTGCAACACAAGTCAGCAGATTCCAATATACTCTAAAGCTGGCCATACAGTTATAGATTGTCTGCAGATGTTCTATGGTCAGATGGAAAAGTGCAACAGATTCCTCCATCTACACTAAACTATGTGGATGGGGAAATCTCCCGCTGGGCCAAGCTTCAGTATCTTGCTAGTCGGCCCCGCTGGCTCTCAAAATACCTGAGCAATGCCTGCATCCAATCAGGTTGTTCAGGTATGTTGACAGCCAGCGGGACCGACTAGCAAGATACTAAAGCTTGGCCCAGCGGGAGATTCCCCCATCCACACAGTTTAGCGTAGATGGAGGAATCTGTTGCACTTTTCCATCTGACCATAGAAAATCTGCAGATAATCTATAGGTGTATCACCAGCTTAATAGTGCAGTGTGGATGACCATCCTGAGGATGCTTTGGATACGGTAGGCCATATTGAAATCTGTTCTATTGACATCTGTCCTACTGAAATTGTGCAAGGTTGCATGCATGAACTTGCAATTTTGGAGTGTTTGCAAGAAAAAGCTTTAGTTGTGCTTTAAATGTTTTCCTCTTACTCACGCAGTTTTGATTTGTAGCCCTAAGCGTCTTTACCTCCACATGTGAGCCCAGGGCTGTTAGATATATGGACCCTTGCCTGAAATTAGCCATACTGGAATCCATTAGTTGTTAAAGTGACACTCAGGAGTTCAATCTTAAAAATGTATTCAAGGCTACTTTTGTTCCCCTGGTCCCTGTGTGTGTTGTAAAGTAGCCACCGCTCCAAGCTCACTCCCATAATCTCACGTCCAGATTACTAATTTGCATTGAGATTGTAGTCTATCACAGGAGCGAGCTTGGAGTGGTGACTACTTTACAACACACTGGAGATGTAAGCCGGCAAAAAATGTGTTTAGTTTTGGATGTTTCGTTATTTTGTTTTTTTGAATTCGGGTCAATTAATTTGTTTGTTAACTTCGGATGAGTTAAAATGATAATTACGAACAAAAATGAATTGCAGAAAAGTGACATTGAATGTTTACTTTTGTTTCTTTTTAACTTTTGACACTCCGTAGAAACAAGAGAAAAATTAATAGTGTGAGGTTCCCCCAGCAATTCATACCAGGCCCTTTAGGTGTAGGGGGCACCCAGATGGAGATGAGCCCCCCTGTCCGCAGACCCCCCACAACCACCGGGCCAGGGTTTTGGGGAAGAGGCCCTTGTCCTCATCGGCATGGGGACAAGGCGCTTTTCCAGGGAATCCCCCCTGGAAAATCACCCTCCCAATACTGAGGGCATGTAGCCTGGTATGGTGGAGGGAGGGGTGGGCTGCTCGCTTGTCCCCCTTCCTTTCCTGTCCTGCCAGGCTGCTGCCCGGGTTAAGGGTCTGGTATGGGATTTTAGGGGGGACACCACGTTTTTTTCCATTTATTTGGCGTTGGGGTTCCTCCTTAAAATTCCTACCAGACCTAAAGGGCATGGTAGGAATTGCCAGGAGAGCTACACGCTGTTTTATGTTTTTCTTGCATCAGGGGTCCCCCCTAACATTCCTACCAGTCCTAAAGGGTCTGGTATGAGTTTTGTGTGTGTGTGTGGGGGGGGGGGTTTAATTATTATTTCTGTGGACCGTTTAACACTTTTGTGTATTCTGTGACAGCTATCAAATTCTTTGTTTACATTCGGGATCGGAATGTCAGCAAAGAAGCAGAAGCTGTTACAGAATAACACACATCTCAGCTTTGTTCTTTCTTTACATTTTGTAATAATATTCTGTTACTTTGCTTCCATTTGGGATACAAGTCCAGAATGTCAACAAAGAGCAGAAAACCCGGAGAGCTGTAAATGACACATAGCTTTCCTGCTTGTTTCGTTCCAAATGCAATTCGAATGTATTCAAATTTCGTTATCAAACATTCAGATTCGTTCAGATTTGTTATTTCTGTTATTTGGAAATTCGGATGCTTCCAAATCTCAGAATATACAGAAATTTGTATGACTTTAATTTCGGTACTATAGGAATCACACATGTCTACAACACACACAGGAACATGGGGAACAAAAGTAGCCCCCCTCCAGAAGTAGGACAGTGTCAGCACCAATTCAGAGATGATTTGAGGATCTACAGCCGAGTGATACACAAATAAGATACATTTTTGTTGATAGTTAGGATACCTAAATGCATTTTTAAGATTTAACTCCTGAGTTTAGTGTCACTAAGTGAGACTGAGTTGCTGCCAGAGATGTTCATAGAGTTGAATATTTCTCTGTGGCAGCATCTTCCTTAACACTCTGCCCAACATGGCACAGCTAGTTTTCGATGAGGACTCAGGTGTCCAACAGCCCTCAGTTATTTATGAATGAACTGAGGGCTGTAAATCACTAAACAGCATCCAGTTTACAATCTTTTTCTGCAGCCCTTGTTGTGAATGAACAGGAAGCCTCTATACTGCTCTATACAGCTCATCACTGACTGCTTGTACCGGTCTCCATCCTTACTCGCTGTCACAGGAGGCTTAACGAGCTGTGCAGAGAGGAGAGCTTGATATTCTCTGACAGCTGACTCCTCCCTTGCACCACCGAATCGGCCTCCTGTGACAGCTCACAGCTGTCTCCGCCCCCACACCGCTCTCCATCCTTATGTGTCACGGGAGGCTGAGCAGGGTGGTGCGGAAGGAGAGCTCAGCCTCCAGTGACACATCGCTCACAGCTTCTGCATTTTGCCCAAAGTGCCATTTTATGCCAATTTGTTTCAGCAGCTGAAATTTCAGTGAATCCCTGTTATGAAAGGAGAGCGGGTACAAGCAGTCAGCGCTTGTAAATAATTGAGGACATAGTATATTTACTGTGTCCCCAATTATGAATGAATGTGAAGTGAACTACATTACCTCCTGTTCATTCATGATAAACATACTATCTTCACAAGTTATAAATGGACAGGAACACTCAGTATAGAGGATTCCTATTCATTCATAACGGGGCTGCAGAAAAAGAGATAGGACTCTGTGTTCTCAGTCTCTTTTTCTATTTTAAAAGGGAAATATCAGGGTTCTGAGTAGACCCCTAATATTTCCCTAAAGTCCCCGACAGTAAAGTAAAAATAAAAGCAATTAAATAAATATAGAATATTAAAAAAATTATTGAAAAGATTAGAAAAACATTTTTTTGTTTTTTTTAATTTTTGGTTTTGGTAAGAAAATTCCATTTTGGTGCACCTTAATACACTTTTGAGGGTAGTTGGGCACATAGGCACAATACAAGCACTGTCAATGTAAAAAATATTGAGAGCGCTACAAAGAAATCTTTAAAATTCTAAGCGTAACTGAGTCAAGCATACTTTGTGCAACTGGATAAGATAGTATCTTTTTAGGGTTTTCCAGGTTCTCAGTTTATTCCTTTGACGTAAAGCTCATTGTTTACAGAACTCAGGCAGTCGTCTCAGCAGTGACTCTTCTCATTGGATAGACCTGCTGCCTAAAGAAGACGCTTGAGCAATAGCTATCATGGTTTCATGGTACTACTTGCTGTTTAGATCTTTGGCTCTCCTCCTGACAGTTCAGGGTAAATAGAACAGATTCCTAGCCAGTGCAGCATGGTCCACTCCAGACCTCCATTGTAGCATTGGGCTGACCACAAAGACGCAAGCAATCAGAGCAGAGGGAGGTGACGCCCCCCTCTGCAGGATCTGCATCTTTCTACCCAGCTCTAAGCAAACTTGGACGCTCTGACCGATGTCATGCCCAGCCCCTGGCAGCCTGTGACATCACTGGTTGGCAGAAGCAGGGCGGGATGCCAGCCAGAGCATCCAAGGTTGCTAACAGCTTGGCGGGATTATGTGTACTTAGCAAACTGGGACACGCTGGCCGGTAGTTTTATTGGAATTGTCTTTTTGGAATTCCAGTGTTCAAAAAGAGTATCTAATGACAAATGAGAATGAAGTAGCTTATACGAGGGGGAGGCCAATAAGTTCTTACTCTCGCCAAGATCCAGATGTGCTCGGGATCTGAAATTTAGTCCACTGACTTCCTTCTCTACATATCCGCCTCCTATGGTTACACACTTTTCACATCTGTGGAACAGACGTTTAATACCATCTGCGTAGAAGTATGCAGATTTGGAGGAAAACCAACTATCAACTTCAGTAATGACTGCCTCATCATTGCGGAAACGTCTTCCCCGTAAAGGTTTCTTCAGATTTGGAAACAGGAAAAAGTCCGAAGGTGCCAGGTCAGGTGAGTAAGGTGGATGGGGCAGAGATTCATAGCCACAATCACTGACATCTCTTCAGGGATTATTTGGGCAGATTTCACTTGAATATGGAGGAACCTAATCGCGGCTCGGTATTCCACTTTGTCCAGCATGACACCTACTCCATTTCTCTTGGCTCTGATTATAATTCACCACGACCTACAAAAACAAAAATTGGCATGCATATTACTAAGATATCCACCTATAAAAATGCAAAATGTCAGATCCCTAGCACATGTAGATCATGGTGAGGGTAAGAACTTATTGGCCTCCCCTCGTATAATATGTTAACCGAGTGCAGTACACTAGGCTTGGCAAAAGGGGCGTTCCCCAAAACTCGGGGCCGCGTTACTGAGACTAACACAAACTACGTGGTCTCTAGAGATGCATACGGTTAATTAAATGCTACAGGTGAGTTCTGGAGTGGACCAGCCTACATTACATAGTATTTGGGGTTGAATAAAGACATACGTCCACCAAGTCTAACCCATATCGGTCCACACATCATCTCATTCTTAGGGATACTGGGATTGGGATACATTAGTTAGGACACATCTACCCTACATCAAGCAGTATCCTTACCCACAGTACATATTGATCCATTGTTTCATCAGCAAGGCCGTTGTTATGCCTGCACCTCGCCAACTCTATGTGAATGGAATCATTGCTTTTACATACGTATAGTGGTTTTATGACAACGCACTAGTTTGGTGCGTTCGCTTGTTCTTTATGTCTTTTAGTCCAGGCATACCCTATCCTGAAAGAGAGCAGCAAGGCCTACTGCTATATTTCATTTTACACTTTGCTATCTGCAAGGATCTACCAGTGAGGATTATATGAGTTCTTTTATTGATTCATAAATCCACACCTATTCTATAAAGGTCTTGCAGAAGGTTAATGGCAAGATAATTATGTTTACTTTAAAGAAAGTGAAATTGATTTGCTTTACTACCTACATATGTGTCTTGACCCTGAGGTAGGTCCACACAAATGACCATTATAGAACATCCTCGGCAGGTTTAACGATCTCATTGAAAAATAATGATTCTGTTGTTAGGTGCAGAGGATCATGGGACAGCCCTTTCCTTTATAATTATCCACTTTGTTTATTCCTGATATGGCGATCCAGCAGCGCTGACATACTTCTACTAGAGAGAACATGTCAGGCTTGCATGATTAACGTCTAATGCTCCCTTCTTATTCCTCTCTCCATTTTTGCAATCTATTATTCATTCATATTTTAGAAAATGTCCCATTTACTTTACCTGCCAAGATTCTGTTTTCAAGCTCACATTCCAAAAATCAGTTGCCTCCACTCTTCCCATGGTTCCCCCTCTATAGTATGACCCTGTGGTCCTCTCACAAGTTCTCAGTATATAATGTGTGCAATCATCTATTGTTATTTCTATCTCACCTTTAGGGAAAACCAAGCAACAACATTTTACCCATCAACAAGGCAGTATGACGATGATTCAGAACCTCGTGTGATAGTGGATATTATTGACCGGACAAGAGATGCGCCATCCTAAAAGAATGGTGAGTGAACGGCTCTAACAACATTTCACAACACAACATTTTCTTATGTATACCACCAATGCATTCTCTTTCTATCTAGATCAGGGGTGGGGAACCTCCTGCCCTCCAGCTGTGGTGAAACTACAATTTCCATGATGCGTCTGTCTCTGAAAGCCATGCCTGTGAGAATCTTTCAATGCCTCATGGGATTGGTATTTTCACCACAGCTGGAGGGCCGGAGGTTCTCCAAAATACGCCCCTTCCTCACCAATGAAACCGCTAAATTACTCATCCATTCACTTGTTATCTACCATCTTGACTATTGTAACTCCCTCCTCATTGGTCTAACACTACACAGGTAACCCCCCCTTCAGTCTATCATGAATGCAGCTGCTAGACTCATCCACCTGACCAACCATTCAGTGTCTGCAACCCCCCTCTGCCAATCCCTACACTGGCTTCCACTCGCCCAAAGGATAACATTTAAAATATTAACAGTCACCTATAAAGCCATCCACAACTCTGCCCCCGGATATATCTCAAACCTGGTCTCAAAGTATCACCCTAACCATCCCCTCCGCTCTTCCAATGACCTCCTGCTTTCCAGCTCCCTTGTCAACTCCTCCCATACTCGACTCCAGGACTTCTCTAGAGTCTCTCCCATCCTCTGGAACTCTGTATCCCAACCTGTCCGTCTCTCTCCCACCTTGACTGCCATTAGGTGTTCCCTAAAGACTCATCTCTTCAGGGAAGCCTATCCCACCTCAACCTAACCACTGAACCATCACGTTCTCAAACAATTCATCCCCACACACCTACCTCATCATGTATCACTTCTCCCCCCCTTTAAGATTGTAAGCCCTCAGGGGCAGAGCCCTCCTTACCATCTTTTCTTGAATTGTATTATAATGTCTTCCTTATATTGTAAAGCGTTGGCGCTATATAAATCCTGTATTATAATAATAATTCCCCACCCCTGATCTAGATAACGCAATTGCAAATTGTCTTCCCTTATTCCTTCTACTCCTTGCAGTGCTTGTCTCTAACTTTAGCATAGGGGGTCTATTAATAACCAATTCACACATTCGCCCTACGAATATTTCTGAAAATTCGATCTGTGTGAGTAGACACAAAAACGAACGTTCTTAGATATATTTTCTTTTCAGATAAAATGTGTGTAATGTCGTACTGCATTTTGGCTACTAGATGGAGCTGGAGAGCATAGGAAAACGTATTACATTAGGTATATTCAACCTGTAAAGAAAATCATGCTTGTGGAAGACTGAAGGGAAGGCAGGAGTTCAGTTTTAAAGTGTATTTCCACTTTTGCAGCCAAAAGTGGAAATGTGTGTTATGTGTTCCTATTCACACAGTATAACGAGTGTTACATTTCATACAACATGAAGAAAAATACATTTTAGAAAAATATTTATTACCTGTTAGATGTTTTGTTGCAGCAGGCAACATGGCTGAATTAAGTTTTTTTCTGAGCATCTTCCAAGTGATCTGTCCATATAGAAAGGCTCAAGTAGGCTGTACACACTTCGAATTTCATCCACTTGTTGATGAACCAGCTGAAATTCTCCCCTGTAGGCACCCTTTCACCCCTTATCCCTCTATCGGCTAATCGAAGGAGCAGGTCGGAAAATTGTTAGCCAAATGGCTGCCGGTTGCTGTCAGAATACAAAGGAAACAGCTGGGGATTCAATCTGTTCTATTTTTTTCGTTCCGCACGCGGGTTGAATAAAAATAATACAACCATATATACCAGTGGTGCACACAAGGTCGATCGCGATCTACCAGTCGATCGCGTAGCTTCTCTGGATCCCCGCTGCTCTCCCCAGCGGGGATCCGAGAAGACGTGAAGGAACCGGCGGCGGGGGAGGGCGGAGGACGGAGCCGCTGTCACTATAATGCAGAGCAGTGAGGAGAGAGAGAGACGCTCGGCCAGGATCTGACAGCCGGCGCCTCTCTCTCCCCTCACTGCTCGTCCGTTCTGTCACAGCGGCTCCTCCTCTGCAGGATCTGCATCTTTCTACCCAGCTCTAAGCAAACTTGGACGCTCTGACCGATGTCATGCCCAGCCCCTGGCAGCCTGTGACATCACTGGTTGGCAGAAGCAGGGCGGGATGCCAGCCAGAGCATCCAAGGTTGCTAACAGCTTGGCGGGATTATGTGTACTTAGCAAACTGGGACACGCTGGCCGGTAGTTTTATTGGAATTGTCTTTTTGGAATTCCAGTGTTCAAAAAGAGTATCTAATGACAAATGAGAATGAAGTAGCTTATACGAGGGGGAGGCCAATAAGTTCTTACTCTCGCCAAGATCCAGATGTGCTCGGGATCTGAAATTTAGTCCACTGACTTCCTTCTCTACATATCCGCCTCCTATGGTTACACACTTTTCACATCTGTGGAACAGACGTTTAATACCATCTGCGTAGAAGTATGCAGATTTGGAGGAAAACCAACTATCAACTTCAGTAATGACTGCCTCATCATTGCGGAAACGTCTTCCCCGTAAAGGTTTCTTCAGATTTGGAAACAGGAAAAAGTCCGAAGGTGCCAGGTCAGGTGAGTAAGGTGGATGGGGCAGAGATTCATAGCCACAATCACTGACATCTCTTCAGGGATTATTTGGGCAGATTTCACTTGAATATGGAGGAACCTAATCGCGGCTCGGTATTCCACTTTGTCCAGCATGACACCTACTCCATTTCTCTTGGCTCTGATTATAATTCACCACGACCTACAAAAACAAAAATTGGCATGCATATTACTAAGATATCCACCTATAAAAATGCAAAATGTCAGATCCCTAGCACATGTAGATCATGGTGAGGGTAAGAACTTATTGGCCTCCCCTCGTATAATATGTTAACCGAGTGCAGTACACTAGGCTTGGCAAAAGGGGCGTTCCCCAAAACTCGGGGCCGCGTTACTGAGACTAACACAAACTACGTGGTCTCTAGAGATGCATACGGTTAATTAAATGCTACAGGTGAGTTCTGGAGTGGACCAGCCTACATTACATAGTATTTGGGGTTGAATAAAGACATACGTCCACCAAGTCTAACCCATATCGGTCCACACATCATCTCATTCTTAGGGATACTGGGATTGGGATACATTAGTTAGGACACATCTACCCTACATCAAGCAGTATCCTTACCCACAGTACATATTGATCCATTGTTTCATCAGCAAGGCCGTTGTTATGCCTGCACCTCGCCAACTCTATGTGAATGGAATCATTGCTTTTACATACGTATAGTGGTTTTATGACAACGCACTAGTTTGGTGCGTTCGCTTGTTCTTTATGTCTTTTAGTCCAGGCATACCCTATCCTGAAAGAGAGCAGCAAGGCCTACTGCTATATTTCATTTTACACTTTGCTATCTGCAAGGATCTACCAGTGAGGATTATATGAGTTCTTTTATTGATTCATAAATCCACACCTATTCTATAAAGGTCTTGCAGAAGGTTAATGGCAAGATAATTATGTTTACTTTAAAGAAAGTGAAATTGATTTGCTTTACTACCTACATATGTGTCTTGACCCTGAGGTAGGTCCACACAAATGACCATTATAGAACATCCTCGGCAGGTTTAACGATCTCATTGAAAAATAATGATTCTGTTGTTAGGTGCAGAGGATCATGGGACAGCCCTTTCCTTTATAATTATCCACTTTGTTTATTCCTGATATGGCGATCCAGCAGCGCTGACATACTTCTACTAGAGAGAACATGTCAGGCTTGCATGATTAACGTCTAATGCTCCCTTCTTATTCCTCTCTCCATTTTTGCAATCTATTATTCATTCATATTTTAGAAAATGTCCCATTTACTTTACCTGCCAAGATTCTGTTTTCAAGCTCACATTCCAAAAATCAGTTGCCTCCACTCTTCCCATGGTTCCCCCTCTATAGTATGACCCTGTGGTCCTCTCACAAGTTCTCAGTATATAATGTGTGCAATCATCTATTGTTATTTCTATCTCACCTTTAGGGAAAACCAAGCAACAACATTTTACCCATCAACAAGGCAGTATGACGATGATTCAGAACCTCGTGTGATAGTGGATATTATTGACCGGACAAGAGATGCGCCATCCTAAAAGAATGGTGAGTGAACGGCTCTAACAACATTTCACAACACAACATTTTCTTATGTATACCACCAATGCATTCTCTTTCTATCTAGATCAGGGGTGGGGAACCTCCTGCCCTCCAGCTGTGGTGAAACTACAATTTCCATGATGCGTCTGTCTCTGAAAGCCATGCCTGTGAGAATCTTTCAATGCCTCATGGGATTGGTATTTTCACCACAGCTGGAGGGCCGGAGGTTCTCCAAAATACGCCCCTTCCTCACCAATGAAACCGCTAAATTACTCATCCATTCACTTGTTATCTACCATCTTGACTATTGTAACTCCCTCCTCATTGGTCTAACACTACACAGGTAACCCCCCCTTCAGTCTATCATGAATGCAGCTGCTAGACTCATCCACCTGACCAACCATTCAGTGTCTGCAACCCCCCTCTGCCAATCCCTACACTGGCTTCCACTCGCCCAAAGGATAACATTTAAAATATTAACAGTCACCTATAAAGCCATCCACAACTCTGCCCCCGGATATATCTCAAACCTGGTCTCAAAGTATCACCCTAACCATCCCCTCCGCTCTTCCAATGACCTCCTGCTTTCCAGCTCCCTTGTCAACTCCTCCCATACTCGACTCCAGGACTTCTCTAGAGTCTCTCCCATCCTCTGGAACTCTGTATCCCAACCTGTCCGTCTCTCTCCCACCTTGACTGCCATTAGGTGTTCCCTAAAGACTCATCTCTTCAGGGAAGCCTATCCCACCTCAACCTAACCACTGAACCATCACGTTCTCAAACAATTCATCCCCACACACCTACCTCATCATGTATCACTTCTCCCCCCCTTTAAGATTGTAAGCCCTCAGGGGCAGAGCCCTCCTTACCATCTTTTCTTGAATTGTATTATAATG